TTATTTCCAATATTTGATACATTAGAAAATCTATTAATTATCTACAATATAATTATCTATAAAATTAATATCTAATAATAATCTACAAATTATCATTCAATAATGTATTCTCGTTTATTCCTTTTTATAATATAATATATATGTGTAACACATATAATATATAATAAATAATATTAATTATTTGCAAAATTCGATATAGAAAATATCGAAAGATAATATTACTAAAAATACATGTATTTATATTAATATACAAGATCATAAATTTTATCGATCAATTTATCATTGATAATATTTGTACGATAGGTGGTAAAAATGTTGGTGGCCGTGGTGGTTCTCTTCGCAATTTGTTGGGGTCCCATATTAATCGACAACGTGCTCACAGCTTACCGCATTTTACCACGCCAGAGGAAGGGAATTTACAAGCATATGAACACGGCTTTTCACTTAATGGCTTACTTCAACAGGTATTATCATCATCATCATAATAATAATCATCATCATCATCATCATCATCATCATCATCATTTACTAACTTATTTGATATTCTTAACAAATGTTCGAAGTAACTTGAATATTTGTCTTCTTCTTCATCATCTTCGTAATCTTAATCTTCATCATCTTATTCTCAAACAAGATGATTCTCCAGACGTTTATCTTAAAGTGATGGGATATGAAAATTTTGATCAATTGCTTTGACAACCTTACTATCCTCGTTTATCCAACCATCATTTTACGCATCCATCATCCTGTTGTTCCCCACACTCGTTAGATTTCTTTCTAGTCAAAGAGGTATACATACTACACGACACCCATTTGAACGAATCATTGTCTTCGAAGATACGATTACTATGTAATAGAGGCTATCATTGACGTAACAACTTCTCTTACTATAAGCAAATTGCATTCAATTGCTTCACTCGAATTTATATCTTCTAATCAAAAAAAAATAAAAAATAAAAATAATAAGAAAAAATAGGACTAAAGTTCACAACTAAAATAAAATAAAAAGAAAAGAAAACATTTTGAAAGGATGAAAACAAAAAAATAATATATATTATTACGAAAGGTTTTCTTAAAGGTTTTCTCACCACCACCCATCACCACCCACCACCTTTTCTTGTTAGCATATAAGAGAAAATGGTGGTGTATTAGTCGAAGTTAGATACGATGACGAAAATGGAAACGATAAAGTGACAATAAACAGAAACTCTTGTTAATATTCAGTCAGAAGAGAGAGAACGTTTGGTTTGTTGGTGTGTGTGTGTGTGCCTTCTGGCTTGTAGGAGAGTTTTCCCGAACTCACTTCATGACCCCAACAACCGTAGGAGCTTAAAATACTCTCTAGCAACATCTTCTAACTCGCATCGAATCTTAAATAGAAGATAGAAATGTTCTTTAAAAAGATTATATATACCTAGTCTGTCCGTTAACTAAAATTTCTTCTTGGAAAAGAAGTAAGATATTACTATCTTCTTATCTCATCTAAAATATATTTTTATATAATAGTCAAGTACTAATATAATCTATGTATTTTCTAATTGAAAGTTGATTCACAACACTTGGAATATAGTTTCGCGGGATCTTAATTTAATTTCATTTTCTTTTTATTTATCAATCAATCGATTTTTTAATAATAACTATGTATTATCTGAAATATACAATGAAAAGAATAAATTTGTGTAGGAATAAAATTAAGATGTAATTATGAGAGATGATATTTAAGATATTGATTTTTAAAAGTTTGTTTGACACTGTGTCCAAATAATTGTAATTTAAATTAAACGTCGTGTAAAATTTTTAATTACTCGCGTGATCGACACAATTATAAATTATATTAATAATTTATTATTTAGATGAGATAAAAAGAAAGGAAAAATAACTCTAAAGTAAACATTTAATTGTTAATTTAATTATGATTGAAATGTGTGATAATATTATTGATAAATTAGTATTATAATGATTCGTCATGAGAAATTCAAATTTGATACAAAATAAGATGGATCTATTTGCATAGATATCCGTGTAAAATATCACGTTGGAATCTTCCGAGATAATTAGATTGTAAAAGTAGGTCATTTCCTTAAAGCACACGATTAACTCAAAGTTTCTCCCGATTATATTCGATTGCTATGTCATATACTATCTTTCCCCATCTCGTTTCATTATTTTTCTTCTTTATATCTATCTTAAACTGTGACGTTTGATTTCATTTTCTTTTTCCATCTTTATGAGAAATTCTTCCATCAAAAAAGATTCTCTATATATAATATAATATAATAAAAATGAAAGAGAGTAAAGGTACCAATTAAGGTGAATCAAAAAAGTTCGTCAGTTTTTAAATTAATATTTTACATGCACATAAAGTAATTTTATTAATCTTCGAAAAAAGAAAAAAAGAAATTGCTATCTATCTGAAACAACAGTACAATAAACTCACGAATTTTAGGTTCACCCTAACGTTTCTCATCCCCATCGATTAACTTTGCTCGACCCTTTTTTTTCCAAAAGAATCGATAACATTCTTATTATTTTTCTTAGTCAATGAAACGATCCTTTTATCTATTTTTTTTTTTCAAAAAAATTAAAATAAATTCATCATTTCGGTTAAATTGTTCCCGTGAAAAACGAATCATATATGACCATAATATGGTCGTGTCAAAAAATTGGATATTCATGAACATATATGTGAATAATATAATATAATAATAATAATATTATATAATTATATATATATATGTATCAAACACATTTATTTCGAAAATATATTTTTTCTCTTTTGTAATTTTATAATTTCATATATTATGTTCATGTATGTTCATAAATGTCAAGCTAATCTGTTCACATATAATTCTTTTTTCACGGATTATTAAAGATAAGATGAAAAAATAACGAAAAAGAAGACGGGGGTGTGCGGGGGCGGTGTGATCTGATTAATTTTCCAGTTGCATCAATCCTATCATCTATGGATTCATGTCGAAACATTTCCGTGAAAGTTTCTTAGCTGCCGCTTGCGGTGGATGGTGGATTTGTTGTCCAAGAAGAGGTTACAGAACACCAATGAAAAGACACTCGAGTCTTAGTCAAACCAGAACGACTAGCGTTAGGTAAAGTTTATAATAACATTAATACGATATTTTGCTAATTTTTAAATATATTCTATATAAGATTTTTATTATCTCATTATATATAAATTTATCTCGCTCACTATTTTTTTATTCGCTTAACTTTTTTTCATTTCTTACACTAGTGTTATTTAATATTTCTTTCATATTTTCCTTTCTTTTTTTTTTATTATTATTATTCCCATTACCTTCGTCACGTTTTATTTTATATGAAA